CTTTATTATATTATTTATATAATTTATATACATAATCTTCCAATCAAATTAGAGTAAGCTATATTTCTAAATTTTATAATTAAAATATAATTAGTTATAAATAAAATAAGATACAATATATATGTAATCTAATTTATATTAATTATTTGGTAATTAATCAATGTAATTTAATAATAGTCTAAATTAATATTATAATTTAAATATATATTAAAATGTGATAATAATAAATTACTATTTTAATTAATTATAAAATTTATCTTCATAATCATAATTATATTTATATTATAATATTAACTATTATAACGTGTATCAAAACAACTAATATATGAGTAATTATTCAAAAGTTAATTAAATTAAAGCCTCTCCTCCCCTCGATCCTTCAGTCGCACCGCTAAAGCTAAAGGTTTAAGCTCCCTATACTCTAAAACTTTAAAACATCCTTTCCGCGCTTTGCAACGCTGCGAAATGACCCAAACTCATTTGCTACCTTCTATCTAGCGTGGTGAGAAGGATATCGTTGCGATGCTGCCACGGTGAGGTTGATCAATATCCCTAATTTTCTCTCTAGTGTCGTACCCTCGGAAAACCAAACTCATGACACGCTTTCACTAGTGTGCCGTGCGTGGAAGAGAAACCTCAATGTGCGACGCTTACGGCGACGTCGGGGTATAAATTATTACAAAAACTTGCTTATTTTTTTTATAATCTTTGATGTCCCACAACCCATGCACAGCCATCTCTGGCTTGCGAAATTAAATATACTGTTACGTCTCCAGAGGTGTCCTCTCTGAGGGCACTTCTCTAACCGTGACCTATTTCTCCTTAGCGTGCGGGAGGCCCAGTTTCCGTAGTTTCCCCGAACGCGAGGAGACGTCACTCGGAAGACTGTACCGAAAATCATTTTCGGCATTTCTAAAATGCTAGAATTACTTGGATAAACATGATTGCGGTTCATCTTACTTTGTTGACATTTTTCGATTTCGTCAGGCTATGTCCAATATATGAACTTACACTTCACTTAAAACACATCCAATATTATTTTAAGTTCGAATGCAAACGTAAACAAAGAATTGTCGTTTCGAATTTCAAGTGA